TGTTGGTGTCCTCGTCAACACGCACTTGGCCATAAACATCGATTCGTACGAAAGCCTTACGACCCGAATCGGACGTTTGAGATTGAGAAGATGTGGTTCAACTCCTGCTTTGACAATCTTCGTCGCCTACGCACCAACATCCAGCTACGACGAAGAAGAACACGAAGCATTTTATATGGAATTGGAGAAGTTCTACAGGGAAGATCATACCTTCTTCAAGGTCATCGTCGGCGACTTCAACGCTAAGATTGGCCCAAGAAGAACGGCTGAAGAACTTCACATCGGTACTCACGGAATGGAATGGAATGAGCAGGGTGAGAGACTGTCGGAGTTTATCATGTCGACCAACACCATCCATGGTAACTCACAGTTCCAAAAGCCCCCTCACCTTCGTTGGACTTGGGAGTCACCTGATGGACAGTTCCATAACGAGATAGACCACATCATCTTCAATCGAAGGTTTTGCCTGACCGACGTCGCTGTTGTTCCGAAGTTCTACACGGGATCGGACCATCGTCTCCTCCGCGCAAGTTCCACTTTTCGATGCGTGTTGAGAGAGCCTCGAAGTTCAGGAAGCGAAGCCCCAGGACAGTCATCAACTGGGACCACTTCGCTTCCCTCGTCAGCTTATGGGAGGATTCCGTCATCGAAAACATCGACGAGGAGTACTATCGGCTCGTTGAACATCTTCACGATTGTGGCAAGAAGGCAGAGAGTTTGAAAGTCACCAAGGGACGTCTGTCTCCGGAAACTCTCGAACTGATACGCCAGCGTGGAGCCGCACGAGCTGCAGGCAATCACCGACTCACGTCCGAGCTTGCGAAGCTATGCAGAGAGGCGATAAAGGAAGATCTCAAGGAGCGAAGAGCAGCAGTATTAGCTGAAGCAGCAGAGGCTGGGAGGAGCATCCGCAATGCCCGCCGAAGCTTTGCCAGCTACAAGACCAAGATGACCTGCCTCCGACGTCCGGATGGAACAGTTACTGCATCCCGAAGGGCAATGGAGAAAGTCATCCACGACTTCTACTCGGATCTCTTCGATAGCCATGTCCATCTGCCCACTTATCAACTGCAACAGGATGGATACGTCGTCCCCTCAGTTCTCTCTTCCGAAGTCCGACACGCCATCAAGTCGGTGAAGAATCGTACAGCACCCGGTCTCGACAGGGTCAAACCGGAACATCTGAAGAATGCGCCGCCAGTCATCATCAAAACTCTGGCTCGACTCTTCACGCGCTACCTGTCGGAATGCAAGGTACCCACTCCGTGGAAAACCAGCAGGACCGTGTTGCTGTACAAGAAGGGAGACCTGGACGACATTGGCAACTATCGCCCAATCTGCCTGCTGTCTGTAATCTACAAGCTATTCACTCGAGTCATCCTTAACAGGATCGGCAGAATACTAGATGAAGGACAGCCATGCGAGCAAGCAGGGTTTCGAAGAGGGTTCAGCACGATCGACCAAATCCACTTCGTCCTAACCAACTGCCTGAGACTTTTTCATAATGTGACAGGTCATCGGAGAGTCGCACTTTAACATAGGCTCAGATCATCGACCAGTTAGAGCAACAGTTGCAGTAAAGCTCAAAGACGAGCGAAGACGGCTGGCTGCATACCACTCGCGGCGATATCGATATACTCTCAGAAGAAAAATTGAAATCGCTCGCTCCCACTGCTTTTTTTTCTGCTGAACATGGAAATGGACTCACAAGATATGAAAAATTGGTCTCTACGATTCGAACTGTTATCAAAAATGCTTCTGAACGTGCTCAAAGAAAACCAAGAGAACGACTAAGTGTGCTGTCACCTTGCAAATGTTGGCCACTCGGAAGGAACTGGGAAAGACTACGGATCCGGTAGCCCGAACTGTACTAAATAAGGCTATGCGTTATAGGGTCAGAAACGACTACAAAGAGTACGCAACACGAAGAGCGAGAGAAGCAGCTGAAAAATCGGCAAGCATCAAGAAAACACTAATCACCACTCGCCTGAAGACAATCACTCCCGACTATCTGACAAAAGAGGATGGTTCAGTGGTGCGAAATCGTAAGGACATGGAAGAAGAGATACAGAACTTTTTTTACAAAATTTGGCAACTATCGCCCAATCTGCCTGCTGTCTGTAATCTACAAGCTATTCACTCGAGTCATCCTTAACAGGATCGGCAGAATACTAGATGAAGGACAGCCATGCGAGCAAGCAGGGTTTCGAAGAGGGTTCAGCACGATCGACCATATCCACACGGTTACAAGACTCATTGAAGTTTCACGAGAGTACAAGATGCCGCTTTGTCTCACGTTCATCGACTTGAAGAAGGCCTTCGACTCTGTGGAGACAGAAGCGGTCATCGAAGCCTTGGGCAACCAGGGCGTCCCTACTCAGTACATCAAGATTCTTCGTGAGCTCTACAGCAACTTTACGACCAGAATCTCACCATTCTACAAGGAGGTCATCATCGACGTCAAGAGAGGGGTTCCGACAGGGCGACACCATCTCGCCCAAACTCTTCAGCGCCGCTCTCGAGAACGTCATGCGTCAACTGGAATGGGAAGACATGGAGTGAAGGTCGACGGCCGGCAACTACACCACCTTCGTTTTGCTGACGACATCGTTCTTATAACGCCGAACATCGAGCAAGCGGAGCGAATGCTGGCTGATTTCGACTGCGCCTGTGGTAAGGTTGGTCTACAGCTGAACCTAACGAAGACGATGTTTATGAGAAACGGATTGGTTCCTGATGCCCCATTCACGCTCAACGGAACGAACATCACCGAATGCTCCAGCTACGTGTACCTAGGTCGGGAAATCAATATGATGAACGATCTAGCTCCAGAGCTGAGCAGGAGGAAACGAGCGGCTTGGGGAGCGTATAAGAACATCGAGGGAGTAGTGAAGAAGACGAAGAACATCCGGCTCCGTGCCCACCTCTTCGATTCCGCTGTCCTTCCTGCCCTAACCTACGCCTCAGAGACTTGGACTCTGCGCAGGCAGGACGAGCATGCGGTCAGCGTTATCCAACGCGCTGTCGAGAGGACGATGCTAGGAGTAACCCTATACACGCAAGTGCAGAGGGGAATCCGGAGTTGCCGAACTACGCCAACGATCGAAGATCAGGGACGCTGCCGTTTTCGCCAAGGAATCGAAGATAAGGTGGGCCGGACACGTCATGCGATTTTGCGATGACCGTTGGACCAGAGCGGTTACCGACTGGATCCCTCGGGACGTCAAACGAACACCTGGACGACCGCCGGCCCGATGGTCAGACTTCTTCACGAAAGCTCTGAACGAAAGGAATGAAGGACTTCGTGTCCCTCGAGCGAGGAGGGTCCACTGGACAACTCTTGCACGCGACAGGGACGAATGGAGACGTTGCTGGCGCCCGCTCGAGCAATTCGATGATCAACGGGACGACAGGTGATACAGGTGATTAGAAGCATATTTCATTTCCATTTTAAGGCGAAGCAAAACCCTATTCACCGCTAAAGGCCAGGATATAGCAAATTGCAGGATGATTGCAGAGTTGCGATAAATGTACCACTTTAGCTTCGTTTTCACGGGCATTCATGGCGGATTTTAATGAAACTGGAAAGTGTGGAATCTTAGGTCGTTGCATTAGCGTGATAATCAGGTGCTTTGTGATAAAACCAGCAAACGTTTAAGAGGCCCACCTGTTTCGCTGAAGCCTACCGTATGATGCGCACGATAGCGGGCCGGTATTATCTAAATCTTGATATTTTGCTCTTTTCTAACATGGCAATGCCGCAGAACAATTCGAACGCGCTCCAGCACTCAACACTTGCGACTGCTGAATAAGTATCATAGCACAGTATGCGTATCAGTCGACGATATAAGTAAGGATATTCAATCCTCGACAATCATGTCCTTTTTCGAAGAGCTTTACTGAAGGCATATGGTTGTCACACAAAGAGGTTTCCACACCAACCGAGCTACGAATTACGGGGCCAATTGGTTCGAAAGTCAGCGTTAAATGCAGCAATTACGATGGGTTCAAGAAGGATTTGAAGGAGACGAGGTGGAGTTAAGTGGAAATCGGTGGCGAAAAAAGCGGAGAAATCCTTCAAAAAATGCAAAATGGGAACTTTTTTGGCCGTTAGTTTCACTCATGAACAGGTGACAGCTCAGAAAGCGGGCGTATGAACGAGTTCAGCGCAACGCGTTTGGTAACACCATGCCAAACCACGCTTCAATCGAGTTGCTCCAGTTGTGCCGCTGCTGGCAACGCAGCTCGTCCAAATCACCAACTAAACTAGTGGGCGGATCGCTTTTGGGGGCGGAGTGCTTTCGAAGTCCTGCTCAGCAACCAGCGCACCTTTCGTCGTGAAAGCGCCACACCTCGCTTCCCTGGCAGCCAAGTAACTGATTCGTGTGGTGCATATGCTTCCCCGATGCGCTCCCACTTTATAGTGATATAAGTGCCTTTAAGTGTACTCCAGAAAAATTCAGTACCATTTCAAAGACTCCTCAGCAAAATTAGGCATGAGAAAAAATCTGACGAAATACATATTTCGGCTGCCGTACCGTGCGCCTAGGAAGCAGTGTCACTTGCCATTACGCCATGAAAAGTTACCGTGTGTACAACTTTTCTGTCATCTCTCTCTACTCCTTTCACTTGCCTCACAGCTTAAGGAGGATATGAGATCGATTCTGATGATGCACTATTCTTGGTTCAAGCACATCATTAGCAAGAGTAATCATGTTCGGGTACTGCGATTCATTAAGAGAAAATATAACCTACTTGAGAACCAATTTTGTTCCATGACATTCTGCAGTTTGTGGAACTGATGCTTTTCTCCACATCCTTTATCATGATTGTCAAAAGGCCCAAGGCCTTTAATAGTTAGACATTTGTCTCCAAAGGCGGCTTCGTCGTCATCACATTGGACGTATGGTCTAGCTTAAATCAGTTTCGAGCTTATGTTTACACACGGTCAAACACAATGTTGATTGGATGTTTTCGTTATAGGAGTAATCCCTCTATTTTTTAAAGGACGAATTCACGATGAAAAAGCAACCCATTTCAAATTAACCTAGGGATGGTGAGTGGTACACGAAAGAAGGAAGAACCATGAGAAACGGCCCAGAACCCGAGAAATGGGACCCCTTCCTTGCCCGTTGATTTGAGCATTGATGCGACTCTCATCGCTGTGCCCTCTTCAACACTACGCTCTCTCACCTATCTAATCACTCGCCACGTACCCGCCAGCTTTGAGTCATGATAGGTCGCCGAGGTCAAATTTTCCATGCGAATTGCGCGTCAGTTCGCACCCTCAGGAGGTCCGTGGGTCCCTCAACTAGGTCAGTTTCCCTTTCTTCGACCTTCATTCTAATCGTGAATTCCTCCTTTAAACCGCTAACTTGTGTGTCGGTTTGTATGTCTGTATGTATGTATGTATGTATGTATGTATGTATGTATGTATGTATGTATGTATGTATGTATGTATGTATGTATGTATGTATGTATGTATGTATGTATGTATGTATGTATGTATGTAGTATGCACGTCTTGGAGCTGCATATAGAATTCGTCCTTCATACCGTCGTCGCTCGGTTCCGTCGGAGCGTATACGCTCACTATGTGCGACTTGACGGTTCCGCCCAAAGTGATCACTGCTATTCTCGGCGAGATGGGTTGAAACGACACGACGCATTTTGATGCGTGGCTATTGAGCATGAACCCAACACCATCACGATGTTCTTGACCGCCAGAGTAGTACAGTGTCATCCAATCGTCCGTAGCAGGAACCTGCACTCTTGTCGTTCCACAGCCGCTGATCCTCAGTTCGGATAAAGCTGCAACAGTAACCCGGCACTTGCTCAACTCCCTTGCGATGATTTCTTTCTGACCGCAGTGAAAGGCGGTCCGCACGTTCCACGATCCAAGTCGCAGTTTCGACTTAGGTGTAAGGAGTCGTGGGATTTCCTTTTTTTGGCCAGTCAATGTCTTTCCACCAATACCCTGGCTCCTCGGTATTGGCGCATCGGCTCCCCCGGATGCGGTAGCTTTGTCGTTATTGCTATAATGACACTCCATGGTTTCTTACCTAGTTTTACAGCCCGTCGGTACGGCGGGCACAACATGTCCTGCCCATCGCTTCTTCGAATCGTAAATGGTCTCGATGACATCTTTTACGCCGGTACGCCTTCGAATCTCACGTGCTGGAATTTTATGCTTCAATGTCACAGCGCACATCGTTCTTTCCATGGCTCTTTGCGTTGATGCCAATTTTCTTTCTTCATCTTTTATCGTGCTCCAGGTTTCGCTTCCGTACACCAAAGCTGGTAGGACATGGGTGTTGAACACTCGGGCTTTGATCTGAGCGTCAAGCCTTTTATCAGTGAGAACGCAACGATACTTATTGAATGTTGCCCATCCTGCCTTACGGCGACGTCCTATTTCGATTGTGAGATCGTTGTCCATTGTGATTGCCTGGCCTAGATATACGTATGACGGGACTTCTTCAATGACTGAATCATTCATGTGTATGCAGTAGTCTCTTGTAAAATTATTCTTCATCCATTTGGTTTTACCTGGGTGAATTTCAAGACCAATGGAGCGTGACGCATTGCTAAGAATCTCCAATGAACTTTCAAGTTCGCTCGGATCATTTCCAATGAGAACGATATCATCCGCAAACATCAGGTATTGGAGCCTTTCACCATCTATATCGATGCCGCAAGGCAGTCGTATACTTCGTATCACAAGCTCTAGAGCAGCAGAGAACAGTTTTGGAGAGATGACTTCTCCCTGTCGTACTCCTCGTTGAATCTTGACACGGATCGGATTTTTGAGTAAGTTGATGTCAGTGTAGCAGCTTGTGTTGCATTGTCGTATTATTTCAATGTATCTTCGAGGAATTCCGAAAGCCGTAAGAGCGTTGAGTACTGCTTGATGTTCCACCGTATCAAACGCTTTTTTGAAGTCGATGAATAGATAGCATAAAGGAATGCGGTATTCCCGACATCTTTCTGTAAGTTGGGAGACGACATGGATTTGATCGATAGTTGAAAATCCTTCACGAAAACCAGCTTGCTCTCGACATGTATTTGTGTTGAGAATTTGACGGATGCGGTTAAGGATGACGCGTGAAAAGACCTTCAACACTATCGATAGAAGCGATATTGGGCGATAATTAGCCAAAACATCACGTGGACCCTTCTTATGTATCAGAATAGTGTTGGAACCAAGCCAATCTTTTGGGACACTTCCTGATGCCAGTATTTCCGTAAATATCTCTGCTAGAGGACGCGTGATATATTCTTGTAGGCATTTCAAGTGTTCTGCTCGAATTTGGTCTGGCCCGGGTGTTTTCCCTCCTTTAGTTTGCCGGATAGCTTGTGCCACTTCCGATTCTAACACTCGCAATTCTTCTCTCTCGAATACATCATTTTCATCTCCGAATAACAACGTGTATGGCTGCACTTGTACTTTGCTGGAGAACAAATTTTGAAAAAAGTTCTGTATCTCTTCTTCCATGTCCTTACGATTTCGCACCACTGAACCATCCTCTTTTGTCAGATAGTCGGGAGTGATTGTCTTCAGGCGAGTGGTGATTAGTGTTTTCTTGATGCTTGCCGATTTTTCAGCTGCTTCTCTCGCTCTTCGTGTTGCGTACTCTTTGTAGTCGTTTCTGACCCTATAACGTATAGCCTTATTTAGTACAGTTCGGGCTACCGGATCCATAGTCTTTCCCAGTTCCTTCCGAGTGGCCAACATTTGCAAGGTAACAGCACTTAGTCGTTCTCTTGGTTTTCTTTGAGCACGTTCAGAAGCATTTTTGATAACAGTTCGAATCGTAGAGACCAATTTTTCATATCTTGTGAGTCCATTTCCATGTTCAGCAAAAAAAACAGCAGTGGGAGCGAGCGATTTCAATTTTTCTTCTGAGAGTATATATCGATATCGCCGCGAGTGGTATGCAGCCAGCCGTCTTCGCTCGTCTTTGAGCTTTACTGCAACTGTTGCTCTAACTGGTCGATGATCTGAGCCTATGTTAAAGTGCGACTCTCCGATGACCGTCACATTATGAAAAAGTCTCAGGCAGTTGGTTAGGACGAAGTCGATTTCGTAAAACATTTGTCTGTTCGGATGTGTGGTATGTCCATCTACGTCTTGTTGTTTTTGAAAGTATGAATTTGCTACTGCTAAACGACATCGCTCACTGAATTGAGCCAGAGCTTCTCCACGGTTGTTTCTTCCTGTTATTCCAAAGGGTCCTATAAAGTTTTCTTCAGGATCTCCTTGGCCTAGGTGGGCATTAAAGTCTCCAGCGCATACGATGTAAGATCCTTTTGGAGAATTGATTATCGCCTTCTCAAGTGAGTCGTAGAATTCTTCTACCGCATCATCGTCGTAGGCTCCAGTGGGTGCATAGGCTGATATTATCTTCATCGTCGATCTTACGCCTAATTCAAGTAGGAGCACCGCGATTCTTTCAGAATATATTTCGTAATAGGATATCCTCGATCTCAGATGAGGGGCTATAACAAAGCCAACACCACCAATCTTTCCGTTGCTCGATCCTGCTCCCAAGACTACCTCGTGACCTGTGTGCCACTTCCACGTTCCTGTCTGAAGCCTTAGCGTTTCCTGTATGCACGTCACGTCCACCGCACATCTGTCCAGCTCTGATATCAACTGGTCTACTTTAGCATCATTAGCAAGTCCTCGAGTATTTATTGTGGCAATATTTAGGAAACCATTTGGCAGATCGCTTTCCGTGAGATTTCTCCCCCTCTGCCGTTGTCCTCTCTGCCATAAAGAAGGACGGTGGCCGCACGGGACTGAGGGTACTTCTTCTTCAACTTCACTCATAGATGCTGGTGGCCTGGACATCCCCCACCGCCTAGCCAAAACTGGCGGTAATCCACTGCCGGAAGTGGACTGTGTCCAAGGGGGCCCGTTTTTAGCCTCACTCGACACGTCGTTGCTCCGGCGACAACGAGTGATCTTTTCATCGAGTGAGTTTACACCATCCCACCACTTTGAGGTAACGGGGCTAGGGATGGATACATACATACATACATACATACATACATATACATACATACATACATACAACCGGTGGGCGTAGCGGGCGGGTGGGTGGGGCACACACACCCCCTGGTCACGGACTCCCCGTATCCCCGTATTAGCCATATCCAGGCTCCGCCCGCGCGCAAACTCCGCCCTACAACCCCCGAACAGCACATTTTTGTTGTTATTTTTTCACATTTTATGTAATATATCACACCCCCTAAGTGCCCCCTTCCCCCACTACAACTCGTCCACCATCCATTCCCTCCGCTACGCATCTGACTACCCCGCCCACCGCGGCCAAACTCCGCTACAACCCCCGAAACAGCACATTTTTGTTGTTATTTTTTCGCATTTTATGTAATATATCACCACACCCCGCCCCCCTTCCCCCACTACAACTCGTCCACCATCCATTCCCTTCCGCTACGCATCTGACTACCCCGCCCACCGCGCAAACTCCGCCCTACTTTTTTTATTTTATAGAATTTTTTAGGACCACATACCTCCACTTCCCCTTTCAACATCAACTT